TTAATTACCCGGACACAACAATTCACAATTAGGATTAGAGAGAGAGAGAGAGAGAGAAAGAGAGAGAGAGAGAGAGAAAGTAAGTTTCTTAGAAAAGTTATTTTGATGTCAGTGCAATTGTGGGTAGAATCGTGGGAATTGGGTGGCAATGACAGGAATGGCCCATCAAAACCAGACCCCCAAAACTCTTTTTTTTTTTTTTTTTTTTTTTAATGAACTGAGTTTTCTGTAGCTCAGACCAGATTTCACAACGACTCCCTAGCGAAGCTTCTCCAGCGCTTTTTTTTTTTTTTTTTTTCCTTCAAAATTAAGAGTGAAACAACCGAGCTGTATTTATGTGCTAGCCCTTAATGGGTGTCACCCCACATAGAATTAGAAAACTGACTTCGCGTGAGCTCTCTCTCATCGGAGCCAGATGGGGACGTGTCCTTTTTTTTCTGACTTAGGTCTGCACCTTGGTCCGCATTGCCACTGTATTTATTCCTTAAAAGCTCAACTGATTCAGCAGCCCTATTAGGACTATCTCTACCGGCTACAAGAAGTATATATGTGTGTGTGCTCTGAAGAGCTGCCGGCAGAAGAGGTGCTAATGGTGCTCAGTTAACCTTCACTAGAATGACAAAACCTGCGAAAGGCTGATGTGGTTCTCAACCCAAAAACAGACGGATTTTCCTCCTAATATGTTTGGGTACTTTTTTAAACATTAGTCCTGATAAACCAAAAGAAGGTTGTCCCAAGGGGCTACGGGTTTGAAAAGATCGCCGAATAGCGAAGAGATAAGGTATCTATTGGGCAGACGTTGCTCTGGTGCAAAGAGGAAAGAAATCCCGTGTTGATTCAGGTTGAGCTGGTGTCTCGTTTCGACTCCGAAGCAAATGATTATTATCCATTGCTTATAATGATTTACTAACTCTTGCGGTCGCTAGAGAGGGCTGCGCTGCGTGTAAAACTTAAAGTTTTTCAGAAATATTCCATGAACAGAGTCCAAATCGGACCTCAGGCACTTGGGTGCAAAATGCTGCCTGCTCTCCCACTACAACAACTTCTCCCTGTGTGAGGAATGTACTGGATTAATGTACATTTGATTACAGTGTCACATCATCACGGTCATGGAAATTTGTATTTATGGAAGTACATTCTTTCTTTGACACATGCTGAAGTCACTCGTTTTAGCATTAATGGAAGCCAGGCTAATATTCTGGTACACTGCAATACCTTAACTTTTTTTTTTTTTTTTTTTTTTTTACTCTAATGAGAAAAACCCTTATGAAAAGTAGTTATTACTGGATGGCCCTAAAAAGGCAGGAAAGCAGGAAAGGAACGCAACTGCATTATAAATGATTCAGTTGCCAGATTTCACATCTGAGATCCAAGCTGTTTGTACTTAGCTACTTAGCTGTGCTAGTTGGAGGGGAAAAAAAAAGCACACGTGTGTGCTCTAGTGTCAATAGGATCTCGTATGCGGTCTTCTGCAAAAAAAAAAAAAAAAAAAAAAAAGTACAAAAGCAACTTTGTAGTTTGATTTGTTTCTTTTTTTTTTCCCTTTTACAGTGAATGTGAAAGTGAATGAATTATAAATTAACTCATTTCATTTTTTGTATGAACCTTGAAAAACATTAACTGAGCCTAGGTGCTCTGACTGGTGGTCTGTAGAAAGAAGACAAACCGGAGTCAGCTCTGACTTCTTCCATGTGCAAGATCTTAAGAAGAAAATGGAAATCTCGGCCCACGGTGACCTCCCACGAGCCAGTGTGATATTCATGAGATGGATTCAGTCTGGTTAAGGAAGAAAAGAAAAGAAAAGAAAAGAAAAGAAAAGAAAAGAAAAGAAAAGAAAAGAAAAGAAAAGAAAAGAAAAGAAAAGAAAAGAAAAGAAAAGAAAAGAANAAAAGCCAAGAAAACCATTTCTTCTCAACAAGAGACATGTCCCTGGGTATGTCCCTAGTGCAAAGAGAGACAGGCATGGCCTGCAAATAACAATCAAACCCCCAAGAAGCAGATGGGTCTTGTGGAGATGGGTCTTCACTCTTTGATTCTCAAGGTTCATGGTGGGCAGGAGGGAACTGACCAGGACTCCTCAACCTCGGGGCACTTTGGGGATGCCAAGGCAGGCTGAAGGTGAGTTAACTCAAAAACAATCATCAGAGAGAAGATTCTTTGGATGGATGTTGTGTGTCCATTATGTCCAGTGGGTAGGCACTGATAATTCA